TTGAGCTGTCATATATAATGACATAAAATTTAGCTGGTCAATGTATTTTCTAACACAAATTTGCTTTATAACTTGTCCTAACTTAAAGTCCCTCCGGGGACATCCGATAAAATTGGAACGATACAGAGAAGATTAGCATGGCCCCTGCGCAAGGATGACACGCATAAATCGAGAAATTGTCCTAACTTAAACAAAATCCCGTGTTTTAGCTCACAAGATCATATTATAGAAAAAGGTATTGATTTCACGTTGAGATTTGCCACCGAAAACTAACAACATAAATAACATTTATGTATAGGAAAGTAGACACCTCACATCTTGTAATCAATTTTGGGAGTTAATTAGTAGATAATAATATATAAGGTTTTGTATAGTTGTTTACATTTGTGAACAAATATATAAAGGTTTTGTATAGTTGTTTACATGGATTTAATATAATGATTTTATAGTTGTTAACAAATACAATAAAGTTAACAAGTACTTTAAAATAAGTCCTACAATGAGTATGAATTTATAGTTCTATAGCCCCTTGAGAATTGAGTTTTTATCCTCTTTCTAATTTTAATGTTGTACTTGCGGGTTCCAATAGACATGGCCAAAGGTTGGGGCACGGCCTTTGGCTCAAAAACAAGGACCCGGGCCCGGCATGGACCTATGTTCGTGTCGGGTCAATGTCTCGGTCAACCGAGCCGGGTCGACATATTTTAAAAATAAAATTTAGAATATTATAAAATAAATAAATAAATAAATAAGCGAGACATCAGCCCGGAACAGGTTCGGCCACTACAAGATAACACTTCAATTCCAACGGCAAAAACTTCCGTTGGAAATTCCAATGAATATTTCAGCAATCTTAATTTTATGTTGGAATAAGTGTTGGCTATGTTTCAATAGTTGAGGAAATTCCAACAGATTTTTTTCGTTGGAATAGCTATAGGAATTTATTTCCATAGGATTTTCCGTTGGATTTGAGCTATTCCAACGGCCGTTTTTCCTACGGATTTTTATACGTAGGAATATCCGTTGGAATAGCTATTCCAACGGAAAACATAAAGAATTCTAACAGAAAATTTCCATTGGAATGTAACAGTTTTTTTTTTGTAGTGGGCCCGTTCGAGCCAGAGTCATGAAATGAATGACCCTGAACCGCCCGTAGAAAATTCGGTTCGGTCCCAGACCTGTGCTCAACAGGCTTGACCGGGCCGGGCAACATTCAGTGGGGGCCCACACTATTATAAGAAAAAAATGTGGATAAAATTACAATTACAAAAAAAAAAAAAAAAATAATAATAAAATCTTGGAACTAAGGCTTAATAAGTGTTGTTAAATAGTACAACTTAGTAGTTCATATTTGATGAGTTTGTGCTCATTTAATAAACGAGTCACCTAAACCGGGCGTATTTAGTAAACACCTTGATTTATAAGCTTGAACTGAGTGTATTTAGTAAACATATTGAATTATAAGTTTGAACTCAGCTCGTATAAGTTTGATCTGACTTGCCTCGACTCAAATTGTTAAGTCAAAATTCTAAACCTAAACTTCAACTTCAAAACCCAAAATATCAAAATCATTTATCCTGGATGAAGGATTTGCAAATATACTCGACTCGACTCATTTAACACAAAAATTTGATTGCCTATTTTAGCTTGTCTTATTTAAATAAACAATTAAGGATAACAATATACGAGTTAATCGAGTTCTATTTACAATTCAATCTAGATAAACATCTCTTCTTGAGATTGTATAAAGGATTTAATATGAGGTATAAGATAAACAAATAGACCCAATGATTTGTGTTAATTGAATTTTCTAGTCTTGTATGTTTGTTCTACCTGGATATTGACCAAAAAAACTATAAATAAAAAAGATAATGATAATAATAGTAATAGAGCACTTAAAAATATAAATAAATAATAATAATAATAAATCAGATTTATGCATGCGAATGTTTGAATAATCTGTAACCGCAGTAAAATAGTCAAAATAAAATGACTTTTCATAAACTGTTTATCTTTAGATAATAACTATTTATATTTCCGAAGTATCATCATGTAGACCACTACCAACTGTTTTTTTCATCATTTTATATCGTGTTAGTCAGCAAATCCAAGGGGATAATTCAATACTAGTAATTAATTACTAACAAATATCATAAAAATATGTATAGTTAATAGAAAAATAAATAATAACTCTAGGTATTTAAATTTGAATATCACATGACTCATAAGTTAGTTGAAATGTTTGACAATTCTTGAATTAATTTGACTGCTACGTGTCTACCATGAAAATTTTAAAATAACCCCATAATTTGTTGAAATAAATGTACTTACAAAATTCTCTGTACCCTTGACCTTATAATATAATGTGAAATTTCACATTTGCCTCTTTTATTTGTTTGTTTTTTTAATAACTAAGTTTTGATATATTTACTCGCAGTTTCCCAACAGTTGACACGAATGTTTTAAAATTCGGCACCAAAAATTAAATACAGATCATATTTTCAACTGTCGGATCTTTAAAAGTTAGTCTCAAAATTAAATTAATTAATTAAATTATTTCAAAGTTACTAGTTAAAAAATAAGACTAGCTAAAATGTAATGCTGATACTTTAATTTATTCTCTAAAGTCGGTTTTATTTTTTTGAAATATTGGAGATAGAAAATATATGACCAACAAAATATTCAAAAGGAAGACTAGTAGACATTTTCATAAATATTGAAGCATAATCATAGATATACTAAATCTTATCACAAAAGTCGTTATAATTTTGAACAAATCTTATCACATTTTTTTTTTATTATTATTATTTTGAACAAATGAAATATAAAGTTTATTGTGTGAATAATCTCTCCGTATTTATTGCAATATATGTGCATTTGTCTTTTAAATTTTAAAATTTATGTGAACCCTACACAAGCACCACAATAAAATTGTTATATTCCAACAGAATATCATATGGTAATATATTCCGGTGAAAATTATAAACGGATATTACTTCCAATCATTTTTCTCATACTTTTACATCAAATCAACTATAATTATTTTATTTTAATTATTTATTTTAAATTCAATTCTTCATAAATAACTAATCATACTACATTTTTCAAAGCTAACTATAGTTAACAAAAAAATCAATCAAAAACCAGTCAAATTCATATCCAATCACATCCTAAATTACATGAAATAGTTAGAACATATACAATGCAAATATACCGTTGTATTAGTTTGAGTGCACATCATTATATTAAATACTAGGTTCACTTCACCTTACAATTTACAATTTTGAGCAAAACGTTGAGTGTGTTTGGTAAACACCATAAATTAATTTATTTTTTATTTATTTAGTTTATAAACTTCTTGTATTCAGATAAACTTGATTTCATAGAACAAACTTTTTGGAAAAGCTCGAGTTTATCACATAAGCTTCATTGGATAGCTTATGAAATAAGACCATTTAGATTTTTAATTCATCTAGTTTATCAACTAATATTACTAAAAATGAGCTGACTTTTCAGTTATAAAGCACAAGCATAAGCTATCAGCTATCAACTCAAAATTCACTTATATAAGCTATCAGTTATCAACTAACTTATCAGTTTACCTAACAGTCGTAGTTATTATTATTATTTTTTTTTTGTATTCTAATTTACCATTTACCAATATAAAGAAGAGGGATAAAAATATTTTGAATTATTCATTTATTACATTATTAATTTTCTCATACCTCCGTATGCATCATTGTAGAGTTTTTTTAGCCTATATGTCAATTTCTAGTGTTGTATAATCATATGTATCGAATTATGGTACTGCGCAATCATATATGTCAATTTGTGGTATATTATAGTAGTCCATGTACATTGGACTACTAGACATGAATATAAGAACTCTTCAAATTACAAAAGATTTGACTAAGTTAAACTACAAATATAGTATTAAAGTTAATATGTTTGGTATGTGATATTAGTTATTCATATATGATATATCACTATAATCATCACTTGGCGAGCTTCGATTTGACATTATCGATCTGAAAGTGCGGCTAATTTTTAACCTTTTTAGGACTAACATATTAAGTCCATACATCTAATCAAAATAACCTTTAAAAAAAACCTAATGAAATCACTCATACTTTAAAATTTTGCATTGAATTTCACCTCTTAAATTCCTTTTGTTGGGCCTTCAAAATTTTCTTCCATTGACCAAAATAACCTCTTAATTCCTTTTGTTTGTACTTCAAAAATTTTCCACCATTCACCAAAATAGTATAAAACCTACAACATGCCCCTTAGCTGAAGGAACTCAAAGGAACCTTTATTATATATTTTCGAACTTTAGCCCCAAAACTGCAATTTCTGCAAAGTATCATATCAGCACAAGCCTCCATTAGAATTAGTATATACTTAAACTCTCTCTCTCTCTCTCTCTCTCTCTCTCTCTCTTTCAAATTCTTCCTTATCTGTACACAATCATCAAATTCACACCTTCTTTTATTACCTTTTGAATGTGGAATCATTTTATATAAATATGTTCTTTTTATGTTCATAGGCGCTTCTCTGCTTAATTGCATTAGCAAGATAAAAAAATTATTTGAATACTAAAAAAGGGCCTCTATTATCCATTTTAGCGTTAAAGTTGTAATCTTTTTGCTCAGGTATGTACCTTTTTTAGTTTCCAAGACTCTCTTTTCTGGGTTTTTGTAAACAATTTTTTTTTTTTTTTTT